CAATGAGGAAGGGAGGAGAGGTTGAAGGAAATAGCCTGAAATGTCTGCAATTCAAGTTAGAAACTGTGAGCTGATGATTAGTTTATTCACTCTAAGTATGTACTAGAGGTTCAGCCCAAGAGACTGCATCACTTAAGCTGAAAAACTGGAAGAATAATGAAAATATCAAAATAATTTTGTTCTTTTTAAATTGAAACATTTTGACTTTTCAATTCAAAGCTAAAATAAGCCAACTTTAAAACACAGGTCACATATACCTGAGAATTTTATTTGTTACATGGCAAACTACTTTGCTTTTGAACTTGAGGTTACATTATGCAAAAAAAAAAAACAGAAATGTTAAACTGTTTTTTTTATATCCAGTCACCACTGGAGTTACTGCATGTTTTCAGTAATAAGTGTTCAGTTTCTTTACTGCCTGGCTGGCTTACAAATATTTTAAGATACAGATTTTTCAATAGAGTATCAGCCCTTATATGCACAACATTTTTTAAAATTTTTCTGTTTTCTTTTTTTGAGGTCAGGGAAGATGCTTCACTACGTAACTACACAGCATTGTGAAGTACTCTAGTTGGGGCACATGGAAGAAGAAGTGCTAAAGATTCATTTACCTTCCATTTCCTCCATCTTTACTTAAAGTAAAAAAAAAGCCTTTCCAGATTAAATAAAAGTGTAAGTAAACAAGTTGAAAGGGAATCTCAGAAGTACATGGTCAAGAACATGATACAAATTGAGTTATTAGGAATAGGAACCTTTTCTGCATACGGATTTCCTCTTCATAAAAGAAAAAAATTGACTGATGCTTGAAAATCTCAAAGATAACACACTTAAAACTGTAAATGCAATTTATAAATCCTACTTCAGTTTATAGAAAATAAGAAATACCTTGTACGCTACTGGGTGCCAGGGAATTGAATTAGCATTATATTATAGTATTTTAGAATAGTTAGTGTGAACTTGAATGATATTTTGCTGAATGTTTTCCTTGTTTCCATGTGTATATTCTAGTCACATAACTCATACATCCCCAGCGTTGAGTCTATGATGTTTACACAGATCTCCCTGCAGGGCATTTTGGCCTAACTGAATCCTTATTTCAACAGTATGTCCTACTTTAATGATATTGTTACTTGAAATGCTGTCTTTTGCAAGTTTTCTTCCCCCTGAGGTTAACACAGCTATTCTACACTGAAAGTAGGGAATCTGACCCTATTCCTAACAGCAGATACGGGGAAGCAAACCCTGTTATCTTACACAGAGTTCTCTGCACTTTAGACCTGCAGAATAGGTGCAGTGACAGCTAAGATTTTTTTTTCTATGGACACATTTAAATCTCAGTGCAATACTAGTGCAGATTTCTGATAGTGTGTTTATGATCATAAGATACAATTACTTGAAAAAGCTTGTTAGGATTCATTTTTTTGACAGATGTGGGGAAGCTGCTGTATTCCCACTTTCATTATTTTCTATTGGATCATCACCAAAAGAAATATTTTTCTCCTTCAGATCCATTTTCATGAAGAAATAATGAATATTTTACAAATACTGTAAGATACTTACACTGAGCCTTATTCGTAAAATCATATGGAGCCATTCTAAATTGCAGCTTACAAGGATAATATTCTTAACTAAGTAACTAACTAGTAACTAGGACATTTACCAACAGTTTTTTAGTGAAATTCTGAACAGAAAAAAAACATTTGACAAAAACACATCATTTCACTTTAATAATAATCAGAAACAAACAGGGGTTGCACAGGTGAAATGGCACAGCAAACTTCTAAGTCATTCAAAGATTTAAGAAACGAAACATAATATGGATTTTAAATTCATGAATTCACATATACTTAATCTGAGACTTTTTCAAAGACCTATACGTCTATGCATCTCTAGTGCAGAAATCCACAACTTATTTAATTTCTTTGTATTTTTAATGAGTCAGTACTAAGTCTTTGTGTCCAAAACCTAGGAGCACTGCACAGTTTCAAAACATGCCAGCATTCTTAAGTAGATACCTGCTTCCAAAACATTCTACAGTATCAGTGAGTAATAATTAAAAAGTCATTCTAAGCCTTGTGATTTGTTCTCCTCTTCATTCTGAAAAGGTAAACAAGTGTAGAAAGATTCTGCATTCATATATGCAGCATATCAAGATTTTCCATATCGGTATGCTCTAATTACACAGGCAGCATGGTGTCAGTGTGTCTAGGAATGTCATAGTACTTTAAGGATTATCACTGCCACAATCTAAGGCAGATGATTCTCCAACTACAAACTTAATCTAATTCACAAAGAAGAATCAAATACAACACCTGTGCATTTTAGAAAATCTCTGCACATAGCATAAATTCAGTTTCTTTTAGGCGAAGAAACTTTTTATATAGTCCTTCTCAAAGTAGAACCTCAGTGCAAGGATCTGCTTTACAAAACTGATAACGGTAGGAGTGCAAAGCTTTGGAAAATCAAGCAAGAAGAAAATAGCACAAAGCCACAAAAGAATTAACAAATTCACATGTGACAATGCAGGATTTTGAAATGAATAAGTGCTATAACTATGTAGTAGGCTATGAATCTGACTTGGGATTGCCTTGCTGATCCAAATGATGAAAAAAGCGATAAATGCATTTTGTATAATATATATAAAATGGTTTCACTGTTACACACTGCAGGAAAATGCTGCTATACCATATTGTGGAGTTTTGCTACAATAAGGAAAAAGTATGAGGGCTGCTCTGAAAGTAATGCCTCCTGTTTCATTATGTTGGCCCGCGATGTCAGAAGCGAATATTGGTGGTATGGCAGCAGAGAACCTTCCTGACAATATCTACCACATTTTGTTGCCATGTGACAGACGGCAGCAGCAGAACAGTCTGACAGAAATGTGACCAACATGGAAGTGCATATAAAGCAAAGGTGTGGCACTGAATTCGTCCATGTGGAAAAAATGGCAGCCATTAATATTCACTGATGCTTGCTTGAATATTTATGGAGACCAAACAGTGCATGTGAGCACAGCAAGGCAGTAAGTGGTACGTATCAGCAGTGGTCACCTTTGCTGGTGCAGATTTCTACATATGCAGCATGCAGGCTCTTGTTCATCATTTTGAAAATGCACAGCTAATGGTGGTGCTGATGTTGAAAAATAGTGTTTTGTAGTTGAGAATTTGTTCATTTAAACAGAGTTATTCTGCTCTTTGCAAATGATGCAGTTTCCATGGAAATAAATAAGAGGCATTACTTCTGGAGCAACATACACGTTTATGAACTTACAGCATTTGGAATATTCTTTTCAACAGTAACAGAAATCCACAGTAACCTTTAAAAAAAATAGTCCCTGTTACAATACTTTGACCAAGTCTTCACATTATTTTTTAGAAACACATCATCTTTCTAAACAGTCTTTAAACAGCCTGACAATCATTACCTTTTAAAAGTTCTTTCAATACCACACTACTGAAACACAGGACTCCAACTATGTATTTTTGTAGTTAATTTCCTTAAGATAGTGCTAGAAACATCAGGTTCCTTGAAATATAGATGAATTTCAAGGTGAGTCTGCTAGCAGATTAATGGCACATGATTTATCGTGACATGAAATCTGATCTGAAACTCATGTTATTAGCTGAGCTTTTTATAAATCATAATTGCCAGCTGCTGAAAATATGCAGAAAGACCACTGATAAACTTCATCTTCAGGGCCTAGAATATCTGCATTTGCTAAATGTACAATATTTCTAGTCTTAGTGAATGATGGAATGACTAATAGATTTGGATGTGCAGATCAGACTTCAGTTAAAATCTTTTCACAGTATAATTCTTACAAAATGAGAAGCACAGGAGGCAGAAAGAGGAGGTAATATAATTTAAGTGTTTACAGTAGGCTCAAAGAGAAATATATACTTGAGTTCTTGTACATCATTGAATAGATTCTAGTACATAATTGCAGAGATGATTATTTAAGGAAAAAGTCCCCATCTTGGACTGTTAAGAGTAAAATTTATACTTGCGACATGAAATCAGCAAATTAGATAATATTCAAACACATTCAAGCATCAGTCTATACAGCTGTAATGAGGCTGCACAAAAAATATTTTATTATCCTAACATCTATGAAGATTGACCTCTACATTATATCCGGTTGACCCTGATGGAAATTTAAAAAAAAATCTGTTGGTATGACAAAACATTTGTTTCAACAATCATTCCTAGATATTCCCATTACATCCCTAAACTTCATATCCTAATTTCTTCTTCCCATGCGCCTTTAAATCTTAATTAAAGTTTCTGAAATGTTGCTTTTACCCATCACAAGTGATGTGCTAAATTACCTAAATAGAAAGAGACAAACATAGGCACTGCATTATGAATATTATCTACTCAACAAACCAGATATTGAAAGAAGGTGATTTTGCAGTACATGTTGTAACACATATTTAATATCCAGAAAAGCTCAGAGATAAATTCTAAATTCAAAAAGCAACAAGGAACAGATGCAAAGTCTCATTCCTGACTTTTTTATATATCCAAAGCTGTTTAATGATAAAAGCATTTATGTGTAAAATGGCATTCACTTGCCCTTAGTAAGAGTATATATGGAAGAGCCTCCTGTCAATGTACCAGTGTGCGTGTGGGAATGAAACATAAGGACCACCATCTGCAGCTGTCTAATAAGTGTTCTTCAGTGCCTAATGGCAAAGTGTCAATTCAGAGATCTTCAGATACCACAATGCATCATCTTGTCCATGCTAGTCTTACAAGTCAAACATTTTGCATGTGAGAACAGTTTATTTATAATCCTATTCATTTCAGTTGAAATACCAGATATAAAACAGTTACGCTACCAGCAGTCTGTGAGCATATACTTAATACAAAATGCACTGATTTCCTCTCTTTTATGAGAATCAATATTTTAAAGGCTGTGCAAGATTTAACTCCTTATAGAACAAATCTCAAAGACATAGAAATAATCTTTTCACATGTAAGCAATTTGAAATTCTTACCTACTGTTGAACTTCTCCGGATGTTTTTCTCTCATGATGTGGAATCTGTGGGCAATTGAAGCATCCTAACAGAAAAAAGAGAACTGTAAATCTATAATGAAAGAAAAATTACAAAACAGAAGACCAAAACTGTAATCAAGGCATATTGTTTGTGAGGTGTTTTACTGTCTATCATTTTCAACAACAGCAATATTCTGACCACTTTACAGATACGCTGCTCCAAGGAAGGGATCTCTATGAAAATAATCAACTCACTACACTTATTACATTCTCCACTTTCACAAATCAGACGTGATAGCTATGTTTACTGAAAGGGTCTTCGATTTTTTTATAGCAAATGTCATCCAGATACACAGAAGATTTACAACAGCGCTCTCCACTGATCTTTCCTGTTGTTTTTATTGCTGTTGTTGGAATTCTAAACAAAGTATATGAAACTCTAGTACGGCTGAGTGACAGTTTTAATAGAGTTAAACATATACAGCCTGACATTTGCATATGAGGATTCAGTAGCTTTCTACAGGATTTTGTAGAAAATGGAAATAAATGATAATATATCCTTTATTACATTGGAAATAATGGGGGTAAGACTGATTTTTTGCACAAAGAAGAATCTTGTTAATTAAGAATATATTATATATATTATTAAAGTGTTTAAAAAATACTAAATGATGCAAATAGTAGAAACAAATATGAATTAGAAATGAAATACCACAATAAAATACATAGGTGTATAACATTTTAAAGGTAATCAAACAATTGTGGTGGTGGAAGTTTCTGATATGCTAGAATCATTTTTTCCCAGCATTCATACATCTCATTTGAAAGTACAAAAACAATGTTTTCTTCAGTATAGCTATGAAATATTTATTTTGCTTAATGATTCTATGATCCTATGAAATCAGTCCTGAGAATATGAAACCTACCAACTCTACAGTTTTATAAGAGATAGTAAACATTGGATTGCTTTCACAAGTATGTCTTAAAAAACTGCATATATGAGAATATATGTGCAAAGCAATAATTTTAAATGAATTCTAGTTTCCATGCTAATACAGCTCCACAAAAAACACAAGTAAATTTTTCACTATAATCAAATATCATGGATGAGAAACAACTTAAAAGATTATAGAACTATAAAAAGTAAGAATTAGAGAAAAGTATCAAATTCAATACAAGCCTTCAGACTTATCCAGTAACATTTTAAATGATTTTCAAACAATCAGAATTAACTTTTGGTGGAAAAAAGAAAATGAAATACTTTACTTCAATTTTATCTTGTTGCCAATTAAAATATTATTTTACATACTTTTTATTTAAGCCATTCATCTTCAGTTTAAATCTCAAATAAGCAAACAAATGTCTAGTGCAGATATCACTTATATCAAATATGGCTACAACACTGACAAAAATACTTCTTTTTAATTAAAATTTTAAACAAGGTAAACTCCAGAGATCATACAGCTGCTCACTGATATAATTTTCTTATATGATGAATAAAAGGTAACAAATAGGAAATAATATTTTACATACAGTCTGATTACCTAAGGATGTAGCACTCTATTGAATTCTTCAGCAATATGACTTGTGATCATTGCTAAAGTAAAATCACTTAGTGGCATCACTAAATGTAAATTGAAATAGTCAATTTATACTCTAATTATGTAGTTTCTAAAGATGCATACAGTTTTCATCCTTATGAACATCTGCTTACTTATTTTTCTATTCTATTTGTGAACAGAAATGCCATTTAATGTATGTTTTACTGTCCCACAAGGAAATGAGAGCAAAAAGCCCTACTGACTGAATTTTATGTTCATAAAATGCCTGATTTTTCTGTACTGTCATCCTACTGTCATCTGAAACTTTCAGTGCAATATTCTCAAACAGTACTTGTCACTTCTTCAGATTTATTTTTATGTACAAGGCAACCTTATGAGGAAAATATCCATCCACAAATATTCAGGTGATCCACAATTCTTGAAGATGGATAAGATAAAGCTGCCAGTAAAGCTCTAGACGTTACTCTTCTAAACAAAGCCTATCAGCTGAACTAAAATAATAACTATGGTAACTTTAGAAAGGCTCAGCATTCATACTTTATCCCACATTAGATGTGCCAACATTAGAAAAGTACAGAGGTTTGCCAGTTGTATATGAAAAAAATAAAAGGACTACTCTTGTGGTTAACTTTTAATTTTCTGCGTTGAAGCAAAAGAAAAGGGCAGACTCAAGACAAAAAGAATAAAGGAGTAGTAGCTTATATGACAGAAACTAGGAAACACTAATCAAGGACTAACTGTGTAATGAATGAAATAAAAAGGCTAATGTGCTTACTCATGCATAACAAATACAAGACATAAACAATCTAGGGATCAATGCCCACTGCAGATGGCAAACAGGCAGTTGTTTCTATGCAAGGTTGATTTGATTGAAATTTTCCCCTGCCTGAATATTTTCTGACTCCAAAGTAGATCAACTAACTTAATGAGCTGAGAGGTTACAAATAAGTAACACACAAAGCTGATTTTGAAGGAGCCAACACAAGACAAACACGTCATAACAATTCCTTATAAACCTGCTGAAAGGCTATGACTTTGTTAATAGACTGCGAAGCAGAGTAGCAACTACACATAGATAAGCTTGGAAGTGGAGGAACTGCTTGGAAGTGGGGGAACTGCTAAGGATTTCTTAGGTTTAAGCTGCTGAACTGCTAAGCCCTCGAATCCAACATGCAGAGGCCTTAAATGCCATAGACAAGGACTTTCCAACCACAACTCCATGCCTGCCTTAGGATAATCTGAAGCCAGTCCAGGCTAGTTGCATGTTAACCACATAACACTTTTTTTCAGAGTTTTTTTTGTTGTTGTTTTTGGTATTTTTTTTAAGAAAAGAAAGAAAAAAAACCACACTATTTTCTGGTTTTCTAATGTTTGTTGCCTTTCATTTTCTAGAATAGCAGCATACAAACTGGAATAAATGAAGAACAACTCTAACAATTAAATAAGTAACTTTGGAGTGGGTAGGAATGCAAGTTCTCTGCCCTTAGAACTGCAGGAATTACCTGCAGCTGATGCAGATGCCATTCCTAAATCCTGAGGAACAACCATTACAAGTTTTGTATTTCTGGATAAGAACAGGTCCCTCCCTGATAGCTGTTCAGCTACAGTTGAAATAGGATTAATTTTAGCAGACTTCAGCCATTTCAAAATGAGGCAACCAGCCTGTATACGTCAAGGCATATAACTGTTGGACCAATAAACAATCTCTTTGTGTCATGAATGACATTAAATTCACCTAATTAACTACACTGGAAAACAGAGTAATATCCACGTGCATGATAAGCCAAATATTGTTTATGTGATGCCACCATAATATACTGACATTTCCTGGTACGTGATATTGTGGATGGTCAGTCAAATTGATAGTTGATAGTTGATTTTTGTATTTGATAATAAAATTGATTTAAAAATGAAAATTCAGGAGTCAGTAAAGCCAATTCACAGGCTTTATGATATTGCCTAGTAAAGTAACAAGTGAACAAGTTTTTTTTAGCAAGGTCACTCGACCATCAGATAGTGGAGTACAATTAATATCATCTATGAGTGTTATTTATTAATTTTTATTAAGGAATTTATGCTAGCTTGAAATAGTGTTTTGCAGAAGAACTGCACTTGAGTCTAAATATTTTCTGTTCTTAAACTGTAACACATCATATATGCACATAAATATAATTAAATTTCTCAAGAGCTTTATTATTAATAAACTGTCAGGTCTGTAGCGAGATTAAAGGAGAAAAAAAGTTTTATACAGTCACTATAATGTGAAGGTAACATCTTTCACTACATCCATACCTCAGTCACTGAGCTCATCTTACACCTAAAGCACTGCAATATGTTGCAATGAATGTCCATGATGGTCAGATTTTCCAGGACAATTCTCACATAGAAATCAATGTTGGTCCAAAAAGTAATGCTGCCTACCCAGCATTTAAAAACAGAGCTAAGTAATTAATTGGAAAATTTTATATTCCTGAGGCAATATAAATATTTGACTTGCATGCAATTATTCTAAAGTATTCATTTCTTTTTTAAGATACACAATGATGTCATAATAATTTATGCCATGCCACGTGCTTTATGCCATGAATGACTATAGCCTAGATGATGATAATTTCTCAGACCTTTCAACTCGAAGTACTACCAAACTAATCTGGAAAAAAGAAAAAACTAAACAAAACCAACAACAGAACATAACACCTTATTCTCTTTGCATGTCTCTTTTTATTTTAGGTAAATTTGGGCGACTATCACAGCATTATGAAAATAGAGATGAAAATTCATATAAGCAATAAGGAACATGATACAGTTTATCCTGGTTTAAATTCTAGTGTTTTTCTGGTAACAAACTTATAAACATATTCTTTGAAAAAACACTTTTGTATCTCCTGAAGATTCGGCCTGAACATATGTGTGGTCAACACACTAACATATACACTTATACATACTTCTAATATGAATCTGTTCAAAATCGGAAGTAGCTGGACTATCCATCTTATATCTCTCTCAGGTTTGTTTTAAATCCTGACAGTGAAGATAAGATAGAGAACAGACAGAGCATATCTGAATCTACTCTTAGGAAATGGAAAAAATATTTTAATTGAACTAGGACATTTCTCAAAGTGACCTGCCAAGAAGAAAAGAAGCTTAAGTTGCTATACCTCTTTAATACCTTATGATTGACTTACACACATATATATTCATCTTTTTAATGGGTATTAGCATTACCGGAAAGCAATCTGAAGCAGTCTTTTCAGAGGAGTAACCTTATACATTGTGAATAACCTTATAGAAAGATTAATACATTTAATATATGTCTATCTATAAGCTTGCTGTGATTAAAATTTCCATTAAATAATAATTTTTATGCTGGTGAACAAACAAATGAGCAATGTGTACTTTCCTTGGATATAAATGGTCTGATTATTTTTTTCTAAGATTCCTCTTTAATTAAGGTTTAATGGATCCACAGGGCTAGGAAACTTAAAAGATAATTCAGTAACCTG